ATCGAATAACAACGAATAACAACAACAACAATATTTTTCATTCCGTCGAATTTTTTGTACATCTTTCTACGCACCATATTAATTTAAGGTTTCTAAGTCTGATAGATATTGCGCAGCAAAAAAAAAATGTAACACAAAGGAGTAAAAATGCAGTTAAAATTAGAAAAAATTCACGAAAAAGCATTTAAAATTGCAATATCTTTCGAATATATTGAAATTGTAAAAAAAAAAAAAAAAAAAAGTCTGGAAAAATTGGAATTTCTTAAAAAGTAAATAAGGCTTTCTTTGAAAAAAAATCTCGGTAATTAATTGTTCCGAAAAAAAAAGACTAATTTTACTGAACTATTATTTTATTGACTTGACTTTGGTCTCATTCTTTCAATGTGAAAAAATACTTTGGAAACAATTAATTTATTTAGATAGCTATATTTGAGTTTCTCCCTCCTCATTTAACCTCATTTCTCCACTATTCCGCCAAAACTCTTCACACAAGAACGAGTAACTTTTTACTACTTACTTCAAGAGAAGGGTACTTAACAGCTTAGCACGATTTTTATTTGATTTTATCTTTTTATTTTATTTTCATTTTTATCACTTATTTTATTTTTTTGGCTTTTTGGTTTTGAAATATTTTAAGCTTGAACATAACAAATTATTAAAAAATAACACATTTTCTTTTCTTTTCTTATTATCTGAGAAACTTTTATCATATTTCAAATATTTGACACAAAGGTAAAGAGAAATTCATTTTTAATTTTTAAAAAAAATGAAAATTTGCCAACCAGTTTAATTGATCTAAAAGATTCTTTATTTTTTGCAAATGTTTTGTTGTTTGAAATTTTAAAATAAACAAAAAAAATTAAACACGCTTTATAATAAATACATATTATTTTGCTTCATCTTTGTCTAATAAGTATTTAAAGTCTTTGTTAGAATTTTGAAGAATTTTAAGATTTGTAGAATGTTAAAGAATACAATGACAATGTTGACTTATGATTTTGTATTACCACAGTATATAAACATATCCAAGTATAGACTGTTTTTAAATCAAATATAATTTACATTTTTAGAATTATTAAAATTTAAAGTAATGAATAGTTTAAAGATATATTATTTAAGAAGAATGAAACATTTTAGTGATTAGTTTGATGATTAAGACTACGTATTTAAAACTTAGTTCTCTTAAGTTTAAACTTTCTATTCAACAAATTTTTCACAGTTTCTACAACTAGTTTTGTTTGCCTGTTCTTTCAATTAAGAGAGATCGCACTCTTCACTTTCAAACAATTTCTTTTTAATATTAATCTTTGTTTTCAACGAAAGCTATTTGAAGTTCTCAAAAAATACATCGTAAGAGTATTTATAATAGTATAGTTTTGTATATTTATTGGTAAATAAATGTTGAAAACAAAGTTCAATGAATTTCATGACGACACGTTTCCGCCATTTTTTTTTAAATTTTAAAACAAAAAAAAGGGTGGAAAACGGGCAGCAATATCCTAAATTAGGCAGTTTTCAAAATAAATAATTAAATAAATTCTTGCAGAAAATTTACGAAAATTAGGAAACTATTTCCGCCTAGAGTTTTACGTTTCAGTTTAAAACGTTTGCGGCAGATGGCGTTGCAAATAGTAAACTTGTGTATCAATAATTATTTTTTCTTCAATTTATAGCTTCCTATCCACTGAACAATTTATAGCGAGATAATTAAAACCAGAGAATACAAAAAAAAAAAAAAAAAAAAAAAAAAANAAACAAATAAAAAAAAAAAAAAAAGAAATAAAGAAAAATACATATTCTCTGCATTCCCAAACATTTAATCCTCTGTAACATGAATTAGCTGCAAGAATTCTATTTCCTCATAAATTACAATAAGAGATGATGATGCATTCAGACGACTCAGTGACTAAAAGTAAATTTATTAAATTAAAGTTTAAAAAAAAACTCCAACAGTTGAATCTGAAAAAAAAAGTGAAAACAAACCTCTTACGAATTTAAATGAAATTCTCTTTCGTGGCGTTTTTTTCCTTCTTGAGGGTAATTTTTTTTATTTATTATTTATTTCTTTGTTTGTATAAGTATCACTCCATAACTTTTATTCTGAACATCAAAAAGCTATCTAAAAATTAATTGAATCAGCATTTTGTATAAGCTTTCTGTTCTATTTGTATAGGATATATCGATAAAAAGGGATCCGTATTTAAATTTAAGCCCCACACCATTAATTAAAACAAAAATCCGAAAAGTTTGGCTAATACACGGGGGTGATATAATGCAGAATTTTAAAAAATGCACTCATAAGTCATTTCTAAAATATACTTATTAAACTGGGTTGTAATTATTTGTTATTTATTTTTGATCATTTTCAGCTGATAAATACCATATTTTTTTTACAAATAGAAGACTTGCCTGGAAAAAGTTTCTCGAGAAGGCCATGGTTCAAAACTGGCTGTTGAGCCAATGAAGTTAAAAAATGAAATTAAAATCATTTTTAATTTATATTCAAGTTTGGTTAAGCCATTCGACTAAGATAAAAATTTCTTAAACATAAAAAGAAATTGTTCCAACGTTAAGAAAAATATGATGCATTAAAAAAAAATGAATTCTAATATTTCTCCGTAAAACGGGTACTTTGCGCTATGAAATGTATACTTTACATTTCAAAATAAATACTTTGCAGCAACAGTGCGAGGAAAGTCGCTACATATTCTTAAGTATACTGCAAAACATAATAAAAATATACGTTTCCGTATTTATTTCATAAATTATTCAAAATTTTGCAAATGTTATTGTAAAAATTATTACCTCTTAAATCGAAGAATTCTGAAAGAGTGCTAGTAGTTTAAGAAGTTGGGTAGCCATGCTTTTATATTCTATATATATATATATATCTCTTACACGGCGACAAAAAAAGCCTCATTAAAACTCCCCGAATGGCAACGCTGGAAAATCGACCAATGATTGACGCTAAAAATGTCACATGCCAAATCTAGCTGAGGTGGCACAACGTATAGCTCTTTTAAAACCGGAAACTGAAATAACCAGAGAGAGCATTCTCACCAAATGTGATCTCTTCCGAAACTCACCCTATTATCATCTGCGGCAATCTCATACTATTAAGCTAGGCAAAAGTGAGTAGTCTTTGTCGATAGATCTCTATTTTAGTATTTTGTCAAAAGCGCTTTTTTTCACGAATTTATATATTACGAATTTATTTGACGATTTTTGATTTATATCATGAATTTATTTGTCTTATTATTATTATTAGTTATTCATTGATAAATGAATCTCAGTCGTGCTGTTACGCTTTAAGATTTTATACTATAGCACATTTGTAATAGATTTAATGAATTACATGTCATTTGAATGAATTAACGTGTCAATGAATTACATGACTTAGTATTTACTAAAAATATGCAATTTTTTTTTAAAAAAAAGTTGTTATATGGATTTGAATGATTGTTTTTGAATTCTTAGAATTTTGTACATTTGCAATGTACCTAAGATAGTAGCGAGAGAAGCAAACCATATAAGATTGCGTAGCAATTTTCGGGGGTTGGCGAGCGTTAGCGTGCAGGGGGCGCAGCCCACTAGTTAAAGAAAAAAGTCTATCCACTATGAGAACATCAAAATTTTTTTCTTCTTTTATTCGTTGCTTGAAACAATATACAGGGTGGTACTTATTAAAACACTTCATTGCTTTAAAGTTCATTGGCTCTTCTAAGCAATTTGTTAATGACTGTTATCAAGAATACGATAAATCATCAATTGCTGCACATTGTTGGAATCTTGGGCATAAATTCAGTTTCAACAATTCTAAAATTGCTTGCACCCCAGTCACATCAGCTCATCTTGCTGCATTGGAGTCTTGTTTCATTCATATGAATGCTGATTCCCTTGTTAATGACATTAGTTCCACACCACCTCTCCATAGCACGTGGAAATGAATTTTACCCTGATTTGCTCCTCTCATCCACAGTGGTTTTTCTTGTTCTGTTTCTTCAACTTTAGGTCTGTTTTACTCTCTGCTATTGCGGTTTTTCTAGTTTTATTTCTCCAATTTTTTTCCATATTTTCCGTTAGCAACTTTAAGTTTTATATTTCAATTCATTTTTGCATCTTCTCAATCACGTTTAATGGTAAGTCTTGAGTGTGGGCGCCTCTTTTTGAGCGCTTTAAGAATGAGACTTTTATTTTCATCTGTATATTTTTGAAGCCAATGAAGGTTTTTAATCAAGCAATATACAGGTGTTTTGCGGTAATATATATTTTTCGAATCCATGACAAACAAAAGTGAAGACCAAAAAAAAAAAAAAAAAACNACCAAAAAAAAAAAAAAAAATACCAACTGTGACGGGTTTGCAAATTAATATTTAAGTTGGAAAAAAAACTCTATCCAAATTCGAAAATTGCTATTAAAGAAGACAGACGTACAAAAAATTAAAAACTGCTATTACCACTTGAAGCTTGGTATTGTGTTATCAGTTTTCCTCGATGATGCTTGGTCAAATTTCGATTGCCTTTTTTTTTCTAGAATAAATATTAATTTGCAGTCCCCAATGTACATTTTTCTTGCTTTATACAAAATGTTCATCTATATATATATATATATATATATATATATATATATATGGANAAAATTTTAAAACACAGGGAGGACATATATTAGCTGACCAATCAGAATGGTCCATTATGCATGTTTATATATATATATATTACGAGCAATCATTACAGAATAACCTGTATATTCTCAAAGGTGTTCCTCCATTTTAAATTATAATGTGTAGTATTAAAAAAAAATGCAAACTTTTGCGTTAAATATGAGGTATCAAATTTGTATTGCGAAGTATTCGTGTTTAAATTTTATGTACGAAATTAATACTTTTCAAATTTAAATGCAGTTTTTTACTTTAAACGTTTCGTTTTTTCATTCACAACAATAAAAAAATAATACCTATTTTTGAATGAGGAAAACATACTAAAACATACATAACTAAGCATCTTTCTAACTAATTTATATGTACAAAATTTTCCTTCCATAAAGTAAATTGAAAGAAAATGATATCCTATTGGAGTGACATTTCTCAGAAAATCTGTTTGAAGCATTCAGCATACATAAAATACCAACAATATAGTAACACATCTTCAATTCACTCAGCAAACGAAAGGGATATCTTCCGTGTTTTGTCCTCAGTTTCTGTTGCAGAAGATGGGGCGGAGATGGATTTGAGAGGCGTGACAAAGGGCATGGAAGAGGGCGCTGATGAAGTAAAAAGTGAAGGGGGATAGGCAGTAGGAGGCAGCCCCAGCTGGCATGTATAATAACTGAAACAGTCGCTCTTAGGCTTCGAAATGGTACATGGCAAAGACATCGGAGAAAATATGCTACAAAAAAGGAATAAGAGAAAAAAGCGCTATTAATATTTTTTTTTTGCATAAATGTAGGGTGTTCTTTAATGATCACCCTTAATACATATTTTTAGAATTTCCTTGTATATTAAGTTAAAAAATTTTGCGCATTGGTATTTATAATTTTTTATTCTAAATTTTATATTTTGCTTTATAATTAGCGTCGAACATCCAACCTAATACTGAGTTTATGACTATCGTTGTTCAATTCGGTGGCCTTGTTATTTTGAATTCAACCCAGAAGACAAGAGAACTTTTGCATCAAGTATTGGGGTAAATTAGAATGCAGGGAGGAATTTTTGATGGAACTAACCGCATTTGCGTTACATAGTGAGGAAAACCACGAAAAATTCCTTTGTTTAGGCCGACGGTAAAGAGATTCTAGCCCATGATCTGTCTACCTCTTGAGAATATTTCGCGTCAGAACTGTGGTCGGTGCAAGCCGGGAGCTGAATTCGTGTCAGCTAGCCACCACTGGGATTCGAACCTGCTCACTTCATTGGGAGGCGAATGCTCTATCACATGAGCCACCACGGCTCATATTTATTCTATAAGGAAAATTTTCAGATTCTGACAAATCTTTGTTGAGGCCGAAAAGTGAATAAAATCATCAAAAAATCAATATTATTTTTCTAAAATGGGAATGAATTTCCTTTAGCTTACATTATAACAACTTTTATATCCTTAACCCCGTTTTCTGGTTTAAGATGATTTTAAATCCTCTCTTGCTTTTATTGAACTAAAATAAGGATCCCAGTTCAAAAATATTTCTTGCTCATTCTCATGAGCATATTATGTATAAGGGTGTTCCGTATTCACCCCCCTTAAAATATACTATTACGACCCTTCTCGGAAATGATGTCAAATAAGTGATTGTAATTAAATGTTTGGAAGAGGGGAAAATGAAAAACACCATCGAAATTTAACGAACCACTACTGAGGAAACTGAAAACATCAAAATCTATTGGACCGATAAATCGAAACATTCAAAATTATAGACCAGAAAAGTTTTGCAAATCGTGATCATAGTAGAGTAGTATTTAATAAAAAGATCTGCTTTACCTTTCATGTTTCTAAAAAGTGAAAGTTTATTTATTGATTGATTGATTTGTTTTGAAGTTTATTTATTGATCGATTGTTTTGTTTTGAAGTTTATTTATTTACTGATTGATTGAAGTCTATTGATTAACCACAGTTGAAGAAATAAAAACTTTAAAACACTTCGTGGTTTATATTACTCACAAAAATAAGCAGCCAGGATATTGAGACATCGAAGTAACTTATAATACTAATAAAATGAATAACTGAAAAATAACGTTGATTTTAAATAACTAAAATAAAATTAATAATTCTTTCAATTCTTTCAACTATCCACTTTTAAACAAAATCATTTCCTTTTAATATATTAGCACTAATAATATTTAATAAATTTTTATCAACAATAAAATATTAGTATCGATTTATTTTGTCTACTCAATTTATCGATGACTTCACAAATCTTCATCGTTTAGAATTTACAAGCTCATTAAAATAAAAGCTTTTGAAGCAATCTCAAAAATTTTCGTAAATAACGAGGAAATAAATTGAATGTTTAGATAAGATCTTCGAAAAATGAAAGTTGCCATAGCTCCATGAAAATGATATTTCTTCATACAAGGGGCAGGGGGGAAGGGCTTGATTAAAGATGCGGCAATATTACATCTTGATTAGGTCCACCGTTTCTTTATCATTCTGAGTGATTGAGTCTGATGATGAATTCATGATATCAGGAAAACAAAAGGGAAACAATAAGAAAACGGATGAGGTTGATGCGGTTTCGTTTCTTTTACGATAACAGTAAAGTGAATCAACCATTCTCTTTATTAACCAAATGTTATAAGATACTTATATTGGAAAGGGAAAAAAAAGTAGCAAGCTACTTTCGAATTTTTCGGCATACGGTAAATTTAGACTGCATTTCAAACAAGAGTGTGTTTTGTTTTATTTTAGAAATTTATACTTAGGATTTTTTATAATGTTTCAAAGTAATTGCTTAAAGGAAAAATTTTCCTACAGACTATTATTTCATTTTTTTTGTTTGTAAATAAGCTGATGTTCAATCGGTTGTTTGATAAAAATAATAATTTAAAGAACTGCAGAGAGGTATTTTTTTAAATTTAAAATATAAATTTTTAAATTAGTTTGTAAGAAAATTGTAGAGTCAAAGTTTCTCGGATTAAGTATAATCTTTAATAAGTAAAATCTTTAATATTTTAATTTAGAATTTAAGGACTGAAAATTGTTGAAATGCATAATAAAATTTAAAAAAATAAGTGAATTAAGAAATTCGATCAGAGCTTATTAGTCTATTTTATGAAATTCCAATAAATAGAGAATTAAATAAAATTGATAGACAGACAAACATGCATTTGTAATTTTTTTTAATGAAAATGCATTACTGCATGCTTTTTATGTGTTACTACTTTTTTGCACTATTTTCAAGTAGTTTTTTTTTGTCAAATCACTAATTTATAGATATGTATGCATATAAATTTTAGTATCAATTCTTCTAACTCATGAAGGTTGAAGTGTGTTAACTAATTTGTTTTTCTAAATAGTTTCAAATCTCAAAAAAAAAAAAAAAAAAATCGTAAAATTTTAAAACACAGGGAGGACATATATTAGCTGACCAATCAGAATGGTCCATTATGCATGTTTATACGTCCAAGATAATTATGAAATGGTTATAAGTTTATGAAACTCGTAAGGAAAAATAGGGTAAGATGATTAAAGTGAAGAGGACGAGCTCGAGTATTTCTCAGACGTAATTATAGCTAGCATCACCTGCCAATTCAATGGAATGTTTTATGGAGGTTGCATTCGGAACACCAGTCCGTTTTACCGTAATTTGATCCGAAATTTTTTACAGTTTTGTCAGTTACTAGCATTTAGTTATTTACTCATCAACTTACTAACTACCTTCGATCATTTTATCTCAATTAATGACAAAAATACTTTCTTTTTTTGGAAGGGGAGAATATTTTGTCTTTACCCAAAGGGAATGAAAATTTTTCCATTATTTTTTTTACTTACTTATAAAACCTAAAGTTTGAAGTTTTTTTTCTCCATAAATTTCAAGTTTTTAAGCCACTTACTGAATTTAGGATAGATACCTGAAGTTTACGCCCATCAACTCACCTCACCCACCCCTAGATTTCACTCATTTTAAAAATATTCTACACTGTAAAAATTCTTTGGTTCAGATTATGGTGAAAAGTAATGGTACTCAGGGTGTTAGAACTTAGACCGTAAAATCCATTTTTAACGCAAAACTTTACAGTACAGAAATCCTATATGCCGTAACTTTACAGTAATGTTTACCGAAAATTACTAAATCACTGTAATTGAATAAATATTACTGTAAAAATTATGGCATGAAATTTTACGGTAAAATGGATTTTACGGATGCTGCCCTCGGGGTACCAGTATTTCTTACCGTAATTTGACCCAGAATTTATTACAGTGTCTGCTGTAACTGAAACACATGCAAGATATTTTATTGTAAGCGTTTTAATAGATATATAATATCAAGTAATATTGAAAAAGGATGAGCAAAAACGTTTCCATCCTGATTGTGACCAACCAATATCGAGATCAATAACAGGTCAATTCAGATTATTTTAATCAAGGGAGATTAAAATAATCTGAAGCTACTTTATTTGTAATTAAAATTTGGAAGAACTGGATCACCTAACTGGTATTTGATTATTTTAATCTCTCATTTGCTTTTCCGATTAGTTCGTGACTCTTAATGCGTTTCATTTTCTGAGCTCATTTTATAAAAGGGTTAAAAATTATATATTACGGGTACTAGCTCTTCAAGAAGAAGAAAACCACTAATACCCACACATGTGACCTATAACGTCAGTGCCAGCTAATCGTTTATAAGCAAAATGGCGTGTTAAAGTTGAGATAAGTTTCTCCTCATAAGTTAGAACGCTAATTTAGATTAAGTTAATTAAATATAACGCTGTATCGCGCATCAAATTTGTTGAAATATGACGTAATTATTTCTCGTCTACGTCTATTATTCAACTTAGATTTATTATTTATTTATGTCTTTTATTGTTACTGGTGATATATTTTTGTTTTGTGTAACTGGAAACTTCGATTCATAATTAATTTGTTTATGTTCTACGTGACTTCATGCTTATCATTGTGTTAAGTACAAAATATCTAGTGAAAGAAGTAAAATCTTTGTGAAAGAATCTAGAATGAGTAACTTAAGAGAATTGATACTTCTAGGGTTCGGCTCACACAAATCAATGTACAAATTTACTATAAATTGAACTATTTTATAAAAGAGCTATAATATTTTATAAAAACTATAATATAAATTGAACTATTTTACAATTGAGGAGGTGTAAATGAACGATGAATGTGACAGAGAATGAAGAATGTCGATGTTTTATAGTCTTTGAGGAAAAGAAATTAGAATACGTTGGGTCTAATTTTTGATAACTTCTTAGATTAGACCAGTAGTACATGGATAAACCTGAAGCAACATGTGATGTTTCTTTATATATATAATATTCCTACTATCGCTTAAATAAATATATTTCATTTCAAACAAAATGTTTCGTTATTTAAGTCTTTTATTTTTAAATGAAAGAATTTAGAATGCTTCGCTTATTATTTGGAATGCTTCGCTTATTATTAACGACGAATCTGTATTTTTATGCTTGCATCATACTTCTTGTCACTTACATTATCTGGATATAATATAATTCTAATTTGTTACGTGACGTATCCAACAGAAATTTCTGTAATCGAATAAAAAATACAAGATCTATTCAGAAAAATTCCTATTGACGTAATTTTTAGGATCGAGGGGTATACATATTTTTCTTTTCGGCAGAAAAAATCGTTTGCATATACACTCTATAACAAAAAACTCGACGCACCAAGAAGCAATCATTCGATTGCTTCTTGGTGCC